ATACATAACCTGGAGATTTATATTGACAATGTCTTTTGTGATCCAACTGAAGATGTTTCTTGTCCACGATCGATAACAGTATCATATGTATCACAAGTCATCACACTCATTAATCATAATCTTATTGGAGCTGCACAGTTGGAGGTAAATTTATGCATATATGATTGCCAATATTTTATTGTATTTTTCTGCAAAATAACCAAGATAGATTATTTCATAGTATAGTTTTACATATGGTGCAATTATTCTTTTGTAGGCACTGAAAAATGAAGAAAGTTTGAACCTACCTTATTCTCAACAAGGTGTTAAGATCATGAATTCAGGCATTAACCTGATTTTAGAGATTCCTCGTCTAAAAGTGGTTGTTACATTTGGAATAACTGGCTTCAGTGTAACCCTTCCATTCCAGTACTTTGGCAAAAACACACAGGGACATTGTGGTGAGAATGTTCACTAAAATGGCCATATTTCTTAACCCTTACTTTGAGGTTGTACTGCAATATTAACTGTTTAATTACTATTGTCAGGAACATGCAACAATAATCAGGCTGATGACTGCATGTTGCCTGGAGGTAAGCTGGTGGAAAGCTGTGCAGTGATGGCTGACTATTGGCCTGTTGAAGACCTTTACCAGCCCAACTGCCCAACACCACCCGCACTACCTACCAGTGCACCTGAACCACCACCTACCTTAGCTCCATGCAAACCAGACTCCATGTGTGACCTACTTAAAACTAGGTAAGCATGATCTGATCTGTCCCAAAAGTTTATTCCTGTACTATTAACAGTTTGCACTTAAAACAAAATACATTCATTTTTGTGTCTTTTGTTAAAACAGTCTCTTTGCAGAGTGCCATCCATTTGTCTCTCCAGAAAATTTCTACAGAGGTTGTGTTTTTGATAGCTGTCACGTTTCAAATCCAACAGTGGAGTGCACAAGTTTACAGACTTATGCTGCAGCCTGTGCTCAGGCTGGAGTTTGCATTTACTGGAGGAACCACACCACACTGTGCAGTAAGCAACCCCTCATCATTTTGTAAATGTTTTGAAATGGTTGGAATCACAAGTGACACTTTGCCAGCATGTATATAAATATCAAAGCAAAAAACAATGAAGTTCTTTTCTTCATCATCAGCTGGTGAATGCCCATTAGGCAAAGTTTACAAGCCTTGTGGTCCTGCAGAACAGCCAACCTGTCAAGACGAGTACGTTTCTGCAAAACTATGCAAAAACATTTCTAGGCACTATGATAATAACAAAATGTGGCAAAATATAAATGTTTACAGTGGCAATAAGTAAAAGTGACACTGTCTATCAACTTAACTGAATGAATTTAACTGCTGTTCCAACGTAACTTATTTTACAGTCCAAGTGGACCAACTATGAACTACACTACTGAGGGCTGCTTTTGTCCTGATGGAATGAAACTCTTCAACCAGGAGTCTGGAATATGTGTTGAAAAATGTGGTAATTACTTTTTGTAATATTTTCAGTTTACTACTACTGACCTAAGTATATGATATAGTTTTAGTGACTTTTTTTATTTTCCAACAGGATGTCTTGATCCTGAGGGCATTCCTCGTGAGGTGATCTTCTTCTTCCTCTTTTTTTTTTTTCAGAAATTCTATTCTTTATTGTTTACTTACAGGAGAAAATAATATAAGTTGTGGTTTATTCTTTCAGTTCAATGAAAGATTTGAGTACAAATGCCAGGACTGCATCTGTGAAGAATCTACGAAGACTGTGACTTGCAAGCCTAAGGTGTGCCCTCCACCGTCAGCCACTACAGACTGCTCTGCTCCTGGGTTTGTCCTTGTCAACCAGACCAGTCCATCAGACCCCTGCTGTTCTACCTATGTTTGTCGTAAGACATATAGTATCAAAGCACTTTAAATTTTTCCAGAATGTTATCTGATTTTGGTAGTATCTCACTGTGCCATCATCTCTGCAGAATGTCAACCTAACACCTGCCCAGTCACTAATATGAATTGTCCAATTGGATATAAGCCAGTTGTCAGTGTTCCTGATGGAAAATGCTGTGCAGAACATACATGTGGTAATCTCATTCAAACAGTTTGAATCTATCTATCTATCTATCTATCTATCTATCTATCTATCTATCTATCTATCTATCTATCTATCTATCTATCTATCT